AACTGTTGCCTGTCAGCAAGAAGACTGCCAGATTGAATACCAGCTGGGGAAGGTTAGGATGACGTTTGCATGTTCTCTCCGTGCATGTGTGGGTCTTCTCTGGGTACCCCGGTTTCCTCCCACAGTCCAAAAACATGTATGTTAGGCTGACTGGTAACTCTAAATTGTCCCTAGGTGTGAGTGAGAGAATGAATGGTTGTTTGTCTCTATGTGTCCCTGTGATGGACTTGCGACCCGTCCAGGGTGTACCCCGCCCCTCCCACCGTGATTGCTGGACATGGGCACTGGCAACCCCCGTGACCCAAAATGGAATAAGCGGGTAAAAGATAATGGATGGATGGATGGTATGGTATGGTATGGTATGGTATGACTGCTGAAGATTGACACCAACAAACCCAGTGATCCAGAAAGGAAGATGTGGTTAAAGATAATGGATAGATATCTAGATGGAAGAAAGTTATATTTATTAAGTTTTTGTGGTTATTTTCCTTTTAATCTGTACACATGTTGACCTTTTTTTAAATTACTTTTTTCATTAACATAAAAATAATTTGTACATTTTTTTAATGCCAATATTTCTACAAACTGTTTTGTGTACATTTTGTAATGCAACATGCAAGTTGCTTTTTGAAATTTGCATCTTTTGACTGTGAAACCTGGTTTTTCTGGGTGACTAATGAAGAGTAAGCCAAATTTCTGACTAATAAAGCTGTTTATGTTTAAAGTAGTTTGGTTTATCGGTTTATTAGCGTAATATCACTAAAATTGGAAACAGCTAAAAAATGATGCAGAAAAACTGGTTCATGCATTTGTCACGTCTAGACTGGACTATTGCAATGGTTTGTTATCTGGGTGTCCAAATACTTCTTTTAAAAGTCTTCATTTGATCCAAAATGCTGCTGCCAGAGTCTTAACTGGAGTTAGTGGGAGAGATCATATGTCTCCAGTTTTAGTTTCTCTCCACTGGCTCCCTGTCAAGTCCAGAATTTAATTCAAAATCTTACTTCTAACCCACAAAGTTCCCAACAACCTAGCTCCATCTTACATTTGAGAACTTATTGTTCCATATCTTCCTAACAGAGCACTTCAGTCTCAGACTGAAGGCTTACTCGTGGTCCCTAGGGTTTCCAAAAACAGAATGGGAGGAAGATCTTTCAGTTCTCAGGCTCCTCTCTTGTGGAACCAACTTCCAGATCCTGTCCGTGAGGCTGACACAGTGTTCAGTTTTAAGACTGGGCTTAGGACTTTCATTTTTGACAAATCCTATAGTTAGGGTTGGCTTGTTATGCTGCTATAGGCTTAGACTACTAAAGGACAAATTGACCTCATTTCCTTAAATGAATTGTTAAAACTGAATAGTTTTCATTTGATACTATTTCTATCTTAACATGTGATTCTTGACCTGCCATTGTGTATCTGTTCCTACCAAATCCAGCCGGTCGAAGCAGATGTGCCGCTTTTTCTGAGCCTGGTTCTGCTAAAGGTTTCTTCCTCATGAGGGAGTTTTTCCTTTCCACAGTCGCCATCATGCTTGTTCGAGATGAGAGTTCTGTGAGCAGTCTGCTCCTCAGCTAAATAATGTTAACTTATTATTTTTATATGAATGTTTTTGTTAACTTAGTATGTTTATACAGTTTATGAATGTTTCTGGTCAGTGCCCTGAGACGACTTCTGTTGTGACTTGGAGCTATATAAATAAACTGAATTAAGTTTAATTATTTTGCCAAGTACATATTGCATGCATAAAGTTTTTATTAAATATGCTGGAATTAGCCAAAGGGGTAAAAGAGCCAGATTATAAAATCCAACATAAAAATAATTACTGTAAAACTCTAAAAATACCCAAAATTACAAAAAATGAATAAAAGTGTCTTACATACTTTTGTCACAGAAAAAAATACTACAGGTTAAACAATAAATATGTTTCTCTAAAAATGTACTATGAAGAGGACATCAGCAATGTCACCATTGTCCAAACCCATTTTTTCTCAAGTTGGAACCACATACAGTATATGTAACTCAAAGTAAATTAATAAATTGATACCATGAATGAATGAATGAATGAACAAATGAAAGAATGAACAAATGAATGAATGAATGAATGAATGAATGAATGAATGAATGAATGAATGAATGAATGAATGAATGAATGAATGAATGAATGAAAATTATAATGAAAGAAGGTACCAAACTACTGACAATTATGAAGATGAATAAAACATATCTTCTTTCTCTTGTTGATTCACTGATTTATTGTGCTCTGTTTTTATTTGTTTTATTTTCTAAAGTACTTTGGTCAATACAAGGCGTTGTTGGAAGGTACTATATAAATAGTGTTTTTATTATTATTGTTGTTGTTCAGGATTGAAACCAAAATGTAGTTTTTTATTATTACTGTAACCTCCATGTTGTATTTTTGAGCCAGAGGCTGCACACTCCAGACATTGTGTTGAACCTTTGATTAAACACTCCCACAAATAAAACACGCTCTCTTAACTCACTAACAGGCTGTTCCACTGATGATCACAGTGTCCCATGCCACTTTTTAAAAGGATCAAATACTGTAACTCACTGAAACTCCAAGTGTTGAAAATTTGTATTTTTGAAATCTAGCAGCAAGATAAGAGATACATGATCAACAAAATTCAACACAAGAAAAAAAATCTGGTTAGCTGGACATCATTAACTTCACTCAGACTCTCTCACTGGTACATTTTCATCTTTAAATCACTTCTTGGTCTGCTGCCTTCATACATCTCCTCCTACATGTCTCTGTGTGAGTGCAGATACAGCGTGCGCTCTCAGGACATTATTACCTGCAGTGTTCCCTCAGTGCAGACTGAACTCGGTAAAAGGACCTTCTCCTACTCCGCTCCTGTTTCCTGGAATATCAGACATGTTCCTGTTTTTAGTTTTTAACATTCGCCTTAGAATCTAGCTGTTTTTGCTACTTTTTTTTTTTTTGCTATCTTATTTTAATTTGTAAAAAAAAAAAATCTGTATGCCTCTTCTATGATTGTCTATTGTTGTCTCTATTGTCCATCGTTGTCATCATCATACCCTTGTTGAATGTGTGTTTTCTTAACTGATGAAGCCTTCCGGATCGATGGCGAAACGTTTCAGCACAAAAAAAGAAACTGTCCAGATGACCTGACTGAAAAATGTTGAATAAAGCAGACTATTTGGAATTTACCCTAAAAAATATTAGCATCTCATTAAGTGTGGAAGAAGTTTCAGATGTGACTAAGGACAACAGCATGTTGTCATGGCACTTCTCAGGCTAAGAATAGTATTCCCAGAGTGAAGTACGGCGGTGGCAGCATCATACTGTAGGAATGTTTCTCAACAGCAACTGAGAAACTCGTCAGAGTAAAAGGAAAGATGGATGAACCATAATATCAAGAAATCCATGACTGTGTTTTATTCAGTAACACAAAAGTATCCTAATGCACAGAGATTGTTAAAACAGCTGAACCAAACTATATGCTTATTTTTAACTAATTTGAATAAAATCATGAATAGTGACAAAAAGAATGAGATAGCAGATACAGGCGATTGAAATGAGGTTCCTTTGCAGGGTAGCTGGAGTCTCCCTTAGAGATAAGGTGAGAAGTTCAGTTATTCAGAAGAGTCTCAGAGTAGAACTGCTGCTCCTCCACCTCCAGAGGAGCCAGTTGAGGTGGTTTGGGCATCTGGTAAGAACAGTTCTGGGGCACCTCCCTAGAGAGGTGTAGTGAACTAAGCCTCAGGTCAAGTCCTGGCCTTGAGGGCCTTCCTGGGACAAGAACTGTATTTCATTAAATTGAGTCCAGAAACACAAGATTAAGTTCATCCAGAGACTTCCTAAGTGTCCTGCACTGATCAATTGAAAGAACACTCTCTTTTTTATTATCATTACTATTTTACAAATGTTTTGATAATCAAAGTGTGTTTAGTTCAAACCATTTTTAAATGTTGAAGTGAACTA